GCTGGGGCCCAGTAATTTTTTCATTTTTGGCTCCCTGACCATTTCTTCAGTCACTTCCCACTCTGGGATTATTCCAGGCAAACAAATGCCCGTACAGCTGATTTAAGAGGAATGCAAGCAAACAGGGATCCTTACAGGAAAATAGGAATGCACCACAAACCCCTTTAGCTTTTTGAGCCTAGAACAGGCCCTGGATTATCCATGCTCATTCCTGTTTTTTTCCAGTATTTTCAGCAGTGATGGAGTCCTGGGGACACTGAGGTGGTGTGTGAGGGGGCACAGGAGGAAATAAACCCTTCCCTCAGTCGGAGGTGGTTTTCCTCATGGTTTAAAGGCAGCACCTCCACAAACTCTTCCTGATAAAGTGCCTGGGGGAAAGTGGGCATCAGCCACTTCCCAAAGATGAATGACCCAGGGTGATTGAGGAAGAGGATGCTTGGCTACTCCAACAGACAGATTGGAAGAAAAATCCCTAAAATACAGAGAAATTAGGAGAGTGAGGGGGGAAGGGAAAAAGAGAAAATAGCAAGGTTGGAATGGAAAAGAAAGAAGAGAGAGAAGAGCAAGAAGATGTTGCAGCTTGGGCAGGATTGGAGCTGAAATCTGGGGTTTAGGAATGAGCTAAAGCCAGATGGGACAGGATGGGAAACTGAACACCAGGACAATTCCAAGGCCAGGCTGGGCAGGGTTTGGAGCAGGGAAGGTGTCCCTGTCCATGGYCTGGGGCTGGACTGAGATGGGCTTTAAGGAGCCTTCAACCCAATCCACTCTGCCATTCTGAGCAAGCCACAGCAAATCCGAGACAGGGACAAATCCTTCCTCTTACAGGTCAGGCCCAGCTCCTCAAGGGCACCAAACACAGCTGCTGGCCTGCTCCTGGAATGTGCTTTTTCCCAGGAATCTCGGGTTTTGCTTGGGGCTGTTGTGCCCTCTAGTGCTACACAAAGCTGGGCAAAGTTCAGGGCCTCCAGCTGCCTAAAACTCAGAATTCCCAGTTCCTTCTGCTGGGATGCAGGGCAGCCACAGCAGTGCTGAGCTCTTTTAGGGTGTGGTAACCCTAAGAAAAGCTTTCTCAGGTGGGTTTGAAGGCCATGCCCCAATATGGGAGGTTTGGATCTTGGAGACTTTGGAGACCTCAGAGACTGAACTGGGAGCAAACCTTGGGGCGGGTGAGGCACCCTCCTCCCATGTACCTGCACCCTCCTCCCTCTTCTGAAACTTTGCTCAATGGATGGGTGCCTTTGACACACCAATCCTGACCTTCCCAACATCTATCAATGCTCAGGGTTGTTTTACCCCCACTTTTATCACAATTTCCCATCAAGCAATGAATTCCTGGAGAAATAAGTTCCTGCTTCATGAAAGACAACGTATTTACGGTCAGCACGGGTGTGAGAGAGAAACAGAGGGCAAAGGAATGAGCAAGGAGTGCTTCAGGAGCATGGATTCACTGCTCAAGCCCCCAGTGAAACTTCAGGACGAAGCTGGACACTGCACAAAAGGATGGATTCCTACCTGGATCAAATTATATCCCGTTCGCTGAATTAACGCACGGAGGGCGGCTTCTTTCTGTGTGCCGGTCAATCCATCCCCGGATTTGTGATTTGATTCCATTGTGAGTGATTAGCAGCAAAAAATCAGGTTAATTAGGGGTGCTCACTGCAATCAAATTTAAGATAAATTAAATCAATTAATACGGCTGGGAGGAGAAAGTCCACCCTCCTGAGAAAGTTCACAGGGTTGCTCTTCCTAAATCAGTTATTTTGGAGATAAAACCAAAACAGAACAGCAGAGGAAGAAGCAGAAATATCCCCCTTGTACATGGAAATAAAYGGCATCTAAACCCACAGTCACATTTTGGGGAGAAACAGAGGGAATTTGTAACCTTTTGGTGRTGTCTGAGGAGGGAAAAATATGTAAGTAATATATGATCCTGCACTGAATAGTCAACAAGTAGTCCTTCAGGCCTTATGGGATGCTGCCACTGGGTAGGGAACCTTGTACCATCCATGCCCAGTGCTGTGTGAGAAAAAAGACCTACCTCCAAATCTGGCCTAAAATAAAAAATAAAATACTTGGCCTAAAATAAAAATTATTTTTGAAAACAAAGAACATGGAAAAACCTCAGATCTTATCTGGGTTCTGGGCTGGAACAACCTTGGGTGCAGACATTTTGAATAAGAGCTTCAGTTTTAGGTCAGGGCTGATTCAAGATTTTTTGGTTTGGTTTGGTTTGGTTTGGTTTGGTTTTGGATTGAAAATATCATGAAACTGAAATCTAAATCTGACTTGGGCTGCCCTCTGCGACGGGGACATTTATAAAATGGATTTATTATTGGTGGTTCCAGGCTGCCCCATTTTTCCTGAATGCTAAGTTTTTTGGGTTTGTCCAAAATCCCATTTTTTGTGTGCTCCAGGCACAAAACCAGGGTCTGTAGGGGCCAGTGGGACCAAGAATTTCATGCAGGATAACACTACATTGTGTCATCCAAAATGGTTGTTATTGCCTAAAACTGCCTTTCATGGTAGCAAGGTGGAAGCAAGGAAAGGTGGTCATTCCCAGGGAGCAAAAAGAGCCAAAAGAGGCTGGGAGTGAGGGGGATGGGGCACCCTGGGAGCACACCCTGGGCATGGGATGGTGCTGGGAATGCTGGGCAGGGAGAAGGGAATGCAGAGCTCTGGGAAGGTGGAAGGAAGGTGGGTGTTGTGGCTGCACCCTGAGCTGGTGCCAGATTTTGGAGAGGAAACCCTAAATTGTGTGCAGTCCCTTGGGGCACATAAGGTGAGCCCTGAAGGTAAAGAAATGCAGGTAAGGAAGCGCAGTGCATCTGCTTCCAGMTGATTTTCTGAGCGTGCCATGATCCTATGGAAATATCAGAAAAAGCTTTCCCAGCCCCCAATTGTGAACACCAACCCCTCTCATGAGGATGGGCAGCTTTTGGGGTTCACTGAGGGAAGAGTCAGGGCTTGGRGCAGCTCACTTTGCTTTGGGATGGTCCCTCCCTGTGCTCCTGTGCCTGTGCACCCTGGAAAATTTGAACAGGGGTTTCCAGTTTAAAATGGATTATTCCCAGAGCCAAAAAAGGGACACAGCCCAGGTTTCTGGAGGATCTCAGCCTCGTGTCAGGCTCAGGCTCTGCCACACTGGTAYCCAGAGACGGTGCCTCAAAGGCTTGGGAAAAGAGACACCTCTGCAAGGACAGATTTTGGAGCTGTTTAATGCAGAGATTGGTGAGACCTTTCTGATTTGATTTGATTTTTTTCCCCATCTCCCACGTTTGCCAGTGTTTAAATCATTCCCCAACAAGCAGGGGCTGGGGGATAGACTGCCCAATGCAACAGCTCCCTCGGGTCTCTGATTCCCAAACGAGAGTTCCCTGCAGCAGTTGGAGCCCAGTTATGGGTTTGTTTGCCCTTCCGAAACCCTGGCGGTGTTTGTGGTGTCTGTGCCCGCAGCGTCTCCGGGAGGAGCTGGCGCTCATCAGGCACGGGGCAGGATTAGCAGAAATCCCTAAGGATCCTTTCCCAGGCTGCTTCAGAAAGGGAAAGTGAGCGCTCCAAACCCCCGGATMAAATCCAGGCTGGTTCTGCACCATGCCCTGCCTGGGCAGAGGCGCCCCATGTCCACCCCGTGGAGGAAAGYTCCGTCACACCCCAAATGTGGCCGCTTTTGGAGCATCCTGGTTCCATCAGAGCGCCGAGGGATCAAATTGCAGCGCTCTGCGGGTGAGACTGCGAGCCCTGGATAATGCTCGGCTGCTGCTCGGGATGCGCCTGCAGTGGATCCTTTAAGGGCAATATCCTCTCGTGCAGGGAGGAGGGATTTCCAGGAAGGTCTCTCTCCCTCTCTCGCTCCCTGCCGGGGATGGTTTCGCGCTGAGCAGCGAGCACACGCCTCGGGGCTGGACGGGAACGGAGCATCTCCCAGGCTGGTGCCTTTCCAGCAGGAGCAATATCCCTCCCTGCCTTATCGGATCAGACAGCCCTGCTCTGCTGGGCCCTTCTCGTAMGGCCAGGAGTCCTGCAAGGATCTCAGGCTCCAGTGCAGCCTGGCTGGACACTGGTGCCGTCCCAGCAATCCACTCGGAGTCAGGGAGCAAGAGCGTTCAGGGTTGTGATGGAGCGTTAACGACAGCCCGCTGCAGAATCCGGGATTTTGGGAGTTTGTTAACCTGGACCTGGCCTCGCTGTGTGCCCGCTGCTGCCACACATCCCTGCAGGAGAAACCATGCAGGAGGGGCACCATGCCCATCCCCGGAGATGCCCCAACTCTCCT